GAGGGGAGGGGAGGGGAGGGGAGGGGAGGGAGAATTGTTCCAACATAGTACATTCACTGTAGTGATTTCACCATGTTAAACCTTTTGAAGTTCAAGTGTTCTGAATCTGGGAAGGTCAGACCAGGCTGTGTCGAAGTTAAAACTATCTGACCTTGAAAAGGTTTGCACTTTTCTAACAGCCAGACTTCCAGAGTCCAAAATCAAAAATAAAACGTGCTTTCCCAGCCCAAAGGTGTTGTCCACCCCTAGTTTAGTGGCTCCGAGTTCTCCAGGGCTCGACCTCGGACAGGCTTGGCTGCTGGATCAAAGCAAGACAAGGACAAACCACAACCACGTCTCGGATGCTTTGAAAAGCCCACGGACAGGTCACAAAGAGGCGATATCCTCCTGTTCGCGTTCCCCGGGAGTGGGTGCGGAAGGGAGGCTGGCTTTGATCTCGAAGCAGCAAAAGGTTACGAGGCTGCCACAGAGGCAACGATGGCCGGTCTTTGATGTCCGTTTGGGGGAACGCAGACTCCAGAGGCAGAACGTCTGCCCTGCACATTAGAGATGGGGCTGGCGCCACGTTTCCTAAGCATTACGCGGGAGCTTCAGAAGCATCTGCTCACCCACGGGATCTTCGATCTGGCTTGAGATGATCCCCTATCGTAGTTTTTAAATTTTTTATGATTCCAAAGAGCTGTTTAAAGAGGATTTTCTTTACCTTTTCTTGTCTGCCTGGCTTGTAATTCTTGTTTTTGAATGCTCACTACTCTGGGAGCAAAGCAGGTTAAAAATGGGCAAACAATAAAAAAAAACAATTAATCATCCGTGTCCCTGCTTCAGCAGGAACTCTGTAGTCTCATCCAGGGTCGGCATAAAAAATTCACAGGTGCTACCACCAAGGGGGGCAGGACTGGCCGAGGGATGTCACTGCACATGCTCAGACGCTACAGAAGCACATCTTGTTGCTTGCTTGAGCCAGAGTTGCTTTCTCCCAGCAAGGAATAATTAGAGCCCCATTTAAAAAATATACTTTTCTGATTGATTGATTGATTGATTGATTAAATTTGTATGCTGCCCATCTCCCATGGAGGGTGACTCTGGACAGCTCACAATTAAAGTAAAACCCAAAAACAGTTAAAAATATAAATACCCACAGTAATTAGTTAAAAAGTCAGACGATATAAAAAGATCCTATACTTTTCTGATGCCCTCTACTTGGATTTTTTAAAAAATAAAATAAAAAATCTGGGAACCAAGCTGTGTCAGTTGACTTCATTAGCTTTGCTAACCTTAACCCTAACCCTAACCCCACTTTTAGGGGCGTGCCGGTAGACTATGTAGAAGGGAATTTTAACAAATAAAAAAATGTGTCATTTGGTATAAATGTGTCATTTCCTAACCCTAAGCCTAAGCCTAACCCTAAGCCTAAGCCAAGATCAGGCCTACAGCTTGACCAACCCCCTGCCCTCAAGAGGTGGCCTCACCACAGCCACCGGCGTTAAGACAAGGAGGATGAAGATGTGGTGGGTGACCATCAGCCGTTCCTTCTGCAGAAAGCTTCTGATGCTGCTTGAAGAGTACTTTCCGTCTGTCTGTCCTTTCTCTTCGCTCTTGTGCCAGTGGCAAAGATACATGACGTAGATGTCGTACGTCATGTAGGACACAACAATCCAGACATATTCGCGGGCGATCCAGTGCCTGTTGGGGGAGAGAAGAACATTAAGGACGACCAGATTTGGGAACCTCAAGTCTCGCTCCTTCAATGCATTTATCCAACTTCTACCCCACCCATTAACCGAAGCTCTTGGGTGGGTATCAAAGCTGCTTAAACACATGTAAAATATTGGCAGTACAGGGAGCATTTCACGCCTGGAATTCAAGCTTTGGTTTCCGAGACGGGCCGATCAGAAAGCGCTAAATTTCCAGCCTGAAAGGTTTGCCTTCCTCAAATGACTATATATACAGAAAGCAAGCAAGCGTGATTGATTGAGGGATTTTGATTCATTGACCCTGGCCATTTGTCACAAGCCAAATAGGACAAGCCTGAAATAAGGTCCGGAAGCATGTAGTTTAGGATGAAGGTGCCAAATTCCACATTCGTAAAATGTCAAGTTTCCAAAATATTAAAAGCTCCTACGCCTCCCCTAATGACAAATATCAACATGTTTGGCATAACAGCTACCCAATCCTTAAATCACGTCTCAGAGCAAAGCAAATCTTGATATTCCTTTCCTGAATTAGACCGAGCCCGATACATAATACAGAAACTTCACAAGTTTCACCTTCAGCATAGTCCTAAGCTATCTTTCCTATTAATAGAAACAGAAAAGTGGGTGTACCTAAATGGAACCATAATGTTTAACCAAGCACACACAGATACGCTCTTTCTGAACATGGAGTTTCTACATAATTGTTCTGGGCAATGCTCCTAGAAAGATTGTTCTTGGCCATGAATTTCAGGGGGCAGGCTAATGGCTCTCATCACATTCATCGGCTGCAGGGAGACCTAAGTATTTCTTTTTACATTTGGCAAAAATTAAGCTGCCACCAATTATCTCCCTGGCATGCTCAGGATACCACGCTGCACGGTTGTATCAGGACATAAATGTATATGCCCTACGAATGTTCGATTTTTTACTTCTTCCCCTCCAAAAATGTCCCATCAAATCCAGTTCCTTTGAGTACCCATCAACAAGAGAGATGAGAGGCAGTTGGGTCTAGTGGTTAAGGCTCCAGGCTGGAAAGCAGGAGGCTGTGAGTTCTAGTCCTGCCTTAGCATGAAAGCCAGCTGGGTGACTTTGGGCCAATCTCTCTCTCTCAGCCCAACCCACCTCCCAGGGCTGTTGTTATGGGGAAAATAGGAGGAGGAAGGAGTATGAGGTATGTTCACCGCCTTGAGTTATTTATAAAAGTAAGAAAGGCAGGATAAAAAAATCTAAAAAGAAAATCTTCCAATACATCATCCTTTCCTGCAACAATGGCCTCCCAATGGTCGAGAAATGCAGATGTGCAAGACCCCTTGATTTCTTCATGGAATCTGGTCCCTGTCCAGGGGGTGGGTGAGAAGCGTTTTTCTTGGGGTCAGCAGTGGGTGGAATGCTTGCAAAACCAGGAAAAAGTTCCACAGCCAAGGAAGCCCTTTTAAAAAAGAAAATTCTATCCAGCTCTTGTCACCCTGGGAAAGACTTTGGCATAGACCTGCGTTTTGTGGCATTTAAAATACTTCTACTGAAATCAGAGAACTGCACTGCCTCCAACAAGAATTACCATATGTCAGTGTTTTTCAAACTTGGCAACTTTAAGATGCATGGACTTCCACTCCCAGAATTCTCCAGCCACCATCCTGGCTGGAGGATTCTGGGAGTTGAAGTCCACACATCTTAAAGTTGCCAAGTTTGAAAAACACTGCCGTACATGATTTCTCCACACCCATTTCAGCCTAAACCTTAAAAATCACGCCTCAACTCAGCATGACCCCCATCAAATATTAAGTGCAGCCCCCCCCCAGCTATCAAAGAGTTGCCCACTCGTAATTTAAACAGTACTTTAAAAGTTGGACGGCCATTAGTCTGGGGTGGTTTGAGGATTCCTGCCCTGGTCAGGGGGCTGGGCTAGAGGACCTCTGATGCCCCTTCCTGTCCTAGGAGTCTATGGCTCACTGCTGTCCACAACTTAGCACCGAACTGAGGTGATCAAAGGCAAGTTTCTGCCCCAAGGAGTTTACAATGGGAACTTGCAAGAGTGACTAGCTGATTGAAAGAACAACTATGATAATCAGCAAAGAGCAAAACTCACATTCGTTTCAACTAGGACCGAGAGCCAAACTTTCATGCTAGGAAATTCGTCCCCAACCTGGTCCTGTCTAGAGGGACTGGGACTATGATTCCCAGAAGGCTGAGGCAATCTGGGAATTGTAGTCCCAACACATCCAGGAGGCCCAGGAAGACCAGCCTAAGGGCTCAAAGGCAGGCAGCTGGATTTATTATCACTTGCAGCATTTGGATGTTTTGAATAATCCTGCGTCAGACGCATTATGCAAAGGAGCCTTCTCCAGACAGCTGGGTCTTCATGTTGATTGATTATATGCCATCAAGTCGGTGTCGACACTTCGTGACTGCATATATTGACCTTCACAGGAGGATCTGCGCCCAACCTGGTCCTTCAGGTCTTTCAACGGTGCCCCCATCGCCACTGCAACTGATGCCCCCACCTTGCTGTTGGTCGTCCTCTTCTTCTCTTTCCTTCTACCCTTCCCAACAAGAGAGCTGAGTCTCCCCATAACGTGTCCAAAATATGATAATTTGAGTCTGGTTATTTGTGCCTCAAGCCATTTCCATTGCTGGGACTCACTCTTAGAGACCTAGATAGACCTTCTCCAGGGTGATCTCTCCCCAGATTGGCCCTTCAGGTCTTCCAACAGGGCCCCCATCGCCGCTGTAACTGAGTCCCTCAGTCTCAAGAGAGCTGGGTCTTCACATCATGTGTCCAAGACAGACAGGCAGGCAGGCAGACAGATAGATGATGTACATCAGTTGGAGACAGATAGATTTTCTCTGTGACGATCTGTCCCCAACCTGGTCCTTCAGATCTTTCAATGGTGCCCCCATTGCCCCATAACTGAGTCCCTCCACCTTGCTGTTGATTGTCCTCTTCTCCTCTTTCCTCCTACCCTTCCCTACATTATGGACTTCCCAAGAGAGCTGGGTCTTCCCATAACATGTCCAAAATATGATGATTTGAGTTTGGTCATTGGTGCCTTAGTTACGTGACATGTTGCTGTCGACTCTTAGTGTCCACATAGATAGACCAGCTGGCCAGGGTTCAATTCCTGGGCCTGGGCTAGGTAGTTAAATGATCAAATGGGGAGTCAGTTCCTAATTCATTGCCCAGGCAAGTTATTTGAATGGCCTCTGAAAGAGAGAATCGTTTGCTTTTGAGTGTAGACCCAGCTTAATTTCCCTCTCCACCCCGTAACATTCGTAGCCTGTGGTCATCGTGTTCCTTGATCGTATCAGACTGCTGCCCTCAAACAGCACAGCCAGAAATCTCTCAGGGACTGCGCACAGAACATTGCTCTTTCTGACCGAAGCACAATACGAAATGTGTGCGTTGTTGGCTTGATATAAAGAGGGGGATGTCTGCCTTTGCTCGCAAGGCAAAGCACTCTGCATGGGGTCTCCCGACCAACAACTCTGGCTCCAGTGCTGCTAATTCCCCACCCTTGGCCTTGACACACCTGGTGTCACCCTGCAATGAGCTTTACCTCCCGTCCGATTCTGGCATTTCCTATCTTCGCAGGTGAAAACCCTTTCCAAAGTTCATCCAGGATTTCAGAGGCTTGGTTTCCTCTTTGGAAATGCCACGTGTTTAATTACCTGTCATGCACCACATCTCTGCAGCTGAAGATCACTACAATTCCCGAGAGGGTCGCCATGATGGCTTGGATGGAGGACACCAGCCTGGAGGAGAGGAAAAAAAAATCAGAATAAGGGGCATGGCCCAGGGGGGAGAAGAAGCGGGCAAACTAGATCTGCAAAAATGTGAAATATATTTGGAGGGGACAAAAAAGCCTGTAATAGACGCATGAGGATCAAGAATGTTCTGCGGGCTAAACGATCTGGGTATGCTTACAGAAAAGATGACCAAGGGGAGATTATGATAGCAGGCTTCAAATATCTGTAGGGTTGTCCCACAGAAGAGGGAGGGGACACTCACTGAGGCCCCAAAGGGAAGGACCGGAATTAGTACATGAAAAACAAGGCAGGAATTTCAAGCTAGACGTGAGGAGGAACCTCTTGATTGTATGAGTTCTCAGTCAGGGGAACAGGCTGCTACATGAACTGATCAGCTCTTCTTCGCTGGAAGTCTTCAAAAGGGCCTGGATGGTCATCTGCTAGAGAAGCTGCAGGGGACCCTGCACTGAGAGTTGGGCTAGGTGACTCTAGACTCCTTCAGTGATACAATTCTATGATTTGTCACTTGCACAGATTGTAGACACTGGAGAAGTCTTCTTGCTCTGAGCTGGTGCTTGGGTTAATCAGAAAAGTGATTAAACAGGTGTCTGCCTTCTTTTCATACCTGCATAACTGAGCTATGGAAAGAATGCATGACTTCAGCTCGTCGTAGAGCTGACGAGGTCTGCCAGAGGTCAAAACCCCCACAGCGAGCCTCCATAGGCACGATCACTCTACCTCTCCCTATCAATTACCAACCTTTTGCATCTTATTTATGGATTGAGAGAATGTACAGGGCTGCCCATCCTACATACGTAACCCCGGATGGGTAACCACAAAACAACCCACCCAAAGAATGAATGAATGAATAAATAATAAAACCTCTCATCACAAAATACAAAACAAAATTAAAATAACCAGAGGGAAATAACTTCCTTTTGCATTTTACATAGGGTTGGCCGCTGCAGGGAAACAGGAGGAGAGACAGATGGTTTGCTCTGCTCCAGAACAGCTCATTCTATGTCCCAAGATGGGGAAATATTTAAGGCAGATTCTGACTGAATATTAAGGGGAAAAATCATAAGATCAAGGACATTTTGGGGCCATCTGACAGGGGAACCAGTGACCCCAGCAGGAGAGGGGCTTCCCTTCACTGGTCATGTTCAAGAATGAGTTAGACACTCATCTGTCTGGACACCTTAGATTATTATGACGGCTGGTTGCACAGTCAGCCAGATGTTCAGACTGGATTTGGCATTTTTATCCCCCATCGAGCCCTTCCCAAGGACCTGGGATAGGCAGATGTGGTGGTCTGATGGTGTTAGAGGTATCGTCACAGCTGTTCCAAGCAAAGCTGCCTTTGGCAATGGGCTGGTGGTGATTTTGTCAATGCCGAAGGTCTTCCAGGGGTGCTCCAGATGTTAGGGGATTGCCCCCAAGGCGCCTATTACTGTTGGTACTATCGTTGCTTTCTTTTGCCACAGTCGTTCTGCTTCTATTTGCAGGTCTTTGTATCTGGTGATTTTCTCCAGTTCTTTCTCTTCTCTTCTGCTGTCT